TATTTCAGACTGTTTATATACATCTTGATGCTACAATCAAATCAATACTCAGCTCTGTGCATTAGGATTCTTTGCATAACTTAGAAAAATGCCCCAAACATTTAAAAATAATAAAATACATCTATGGCTACGTCTACACTGGCATGATTTTCTGGAAATGCTTTTAACGGCAAAGGTTTTCCGTTAAAAGTATTTCCGGAAAAGCGTGTCTAGATTGGCAGGATGCTTTTCCGCAAAAGCACTTTTTGCGGAAAAGCGTCTGTGGCCAATCTGGACGCGGTTTTCCGCAAAAAAGCCCTGATAGCCTTTTTCGCGATCGGGGCTTTTTTTGCGGAAAACACTACTGTGCTGTCTACACTGGCCCTTTTCCGGAACAGTTTTCCGGAAAAAGACTTTTGCCCGAACGGGAGCAGCATAGTTTTTCCGGAAAAGCACTGACGATCTAATGTAAAATCATCAGTGCTTTTCCGGAAATTCAAGCGGCCAGTGTAGCCAGCTGGCAAGGTTTTCTGGAAAAGCGGCTGATTTTCTGGAATAACTTGCCAGTGTAGACACAGCCCTATGAGTTTATTACAAATGAGAGAGAGAAAGTGTGTGGAGAGGAGAAACTTGGGAGACAACTACACAACATAAATCTTAAATTTCAATAGTTTTTTTACATTCATATTAAGCTACTTCACTGGATTTTGCCAGATATAAATGCCAACAATTATAGGATCTTATTTTTGTAATCATATAACTCTAATGGCACAGACTTCACAGGGCAGCAGCCATCTCTGTTCCACACCAAGAATATCAGTGGGAATTTTGTACAAATATAATGGGTAGTATGTCTCTAGAGCAGGGATGGGCAATAAGTGGACAGCAGGGTTCGACAGGGTTAGCCCCTTACAGGCCACTAGACACTTCATTCACCTGTGCATCCATGGGTAAGGCTGCTCACAGCTCCTATTGGCTGTGGTTCGCTGTTCCCAGCTCGACTAGGCAACAACTGAGGTACAGGGAAAGAACAGGCAGGCTCAGCCATTCTAGGAGGACCTCTCTGCTCATAACATATATGAAAGTTGTGTCTGGCCTGGGAGACGTAAGAGAAGACATTTATGAGCTGTATATTGGTCAAACTGTGGGGAGGACAAAGGAACCTGGGTTCTTGTGCCTTCTCTCACCCTTGTTTTGCGTGCAGTATTCTCCTGGGCATGCAGCAACCATTTTGCCTCTATTGCTCCCTGCCCATAGTTGAGGTTTGTATTATCAGGAGGGTCAGACTGACAATTTCTGGATATCAGGAAGAACTTTTCTCCTTGAGAAGAGAATGGTGGGCCAGTCTGATGAATTTTTCACCTTCCTCACAGAATTCTGAGGCCTTGGATTTTAGAATAAGGAAGGGATTCAAAAGCAGAATTTGTCTTTTGTCACTGCTTACAGTGCAGTTTAAAGGCTGAAAGAGATCAGCTATCAGGGTAAATATGAAGATAACTGATTGGCCAACTAATTCGCTGGGCAAGAGAATAAGAAGCTTTAATTTTTTGTAGAGAGAGGTACCCTGCAGGTACATCCTCATTCTGTCCTTGCAGGAGAGGGCAAGATGATTCAGAGGTGAGCCGAATCCTAAGGTTAGGATTGAAAGGGGCCAAACTTGAATATTGGTTATTTGGCATAAAGACCATATAATATTGAATAGCACACAAATCAATGTCTGACTTTTTTGGAGGGGAGGGTTAGTCCTCTCCCCATTAAATTAAGAAAATTAATAAAGTTGTCACCTGCTGCTTTAAATTTCATCCCTAGTTCTGTGTTTCATTCCCCTGGGAGCCCTGATCAAATTAATTTGTGGAAGAAACATTTAGAATCAGCTAATCTTAATTCATAGTGGGAAGTTTGGATAATTTTGAAGATATTATTGTGTCATTTTCTGAACAATGATGTATATCGCCAGTGCAATGTTTCCTCTAATATTTCCTATTCATGTGCAGAGAACATGTGGTGGGAGTGGAGCTAAGGGGTTTAGAGTGTGTGAGGGGGCTCAGGACTGTGGAAGGGGCTGGAGTGCAGTAGGGGGCGAGGGTTCTGAATGAGTGTGTGGACTCTGCAGTGGGGTGGGAGGATGCTCAGGCCTGGAGAACAGTGTTGGGGCGTAGCGGTGTGAGGGCTCTGGCTGGGGGGCCAGGGAAGAGGAGTTTGGGGTGCAGATTGCCTGAGACTACAGTGTGTAGAGAGAACTCCCTCAGTCGTCTCTCCCCATGGCATCACCTGGGCTGCAGGAGATCATCTCTCCCTGCCGCAATAGTGCTGGAGACAGGGAGAGATGCAGCAGCTCCTGGGCTAGGGCTGGGGAGGGGTACCTCTTCCACCACAGTAGGTCTGGGGTTGAGGGAGACGCTCTCCCCTTGCCATGCCGCAGCCTTAGGAATGGGCAAGTTAAGTGCATGATGCTTGGTGGCTTCCTGAGCAGCTGCAATTCCTTAGGGGAATTGAGAGGAAAGAACTTTCCCCTTCCTCTGTCAGCACTCTATTCTTCTACTGTGCGTCCAAGAAATGTAATACTTTCTCTCTTGTCTAGCAATGTCTTTTGACCCAAAATGATGCAAAGTGTTATTCTTTTAAAACAATGCTGTTCTGACAAAGAGACAAATATGCATGTTGTTTAATAGAAAATTTCTTTTATGCTAGGTCTTGCTGAGCGACAGTTCAAGGGCCTTGGTGACTGTATTTTTAAAATTGCAAAGTCAGATGGACTTGTGGGCCTGTACCAGGGTTTTGGCGTTTCAGTACAGGGAATCATAGTGTATCGAGCTTCCTATTTTGGATGCTATGACACCATTAAGGTAATTCTAATGGATAAATGCACATGTTGATCAGATATTTTAAGAATTCATTAGTAATTAATAAAAATGTTTTTTTCTTTGTCTTTCATTTTAAATACTCAAAAATATATTTACTTTTTTAAATTACAAAGTAGGTATAAAATGTCAAATATCTTTCTTTGTTAATTACGAAAGTAATCTTGGAAAATGACACTATGCACTTACCAATTTTGACATTAACTTTAGATGATCAGAAATTACATTGTCATCTGTTGTTTTTCTTTTTTTTATAGGGGCTATTGCCAAATCCAAAACAAACACCATTCATTTTGTCCTTTCTCATTGCCCAAATTGTGACTACATTCTCTGGAATATTGTCTTACCCCTTTGACACTGTCAGAAGACGCATGATGATGCAAGTAAGCTATATATTTTACAATTCTTTTTCAAAAATCATGTCACTGTTATATGACCCTCTCAAATTCCTCATCTGCACACTACTTAGCTGAGGTAAAAAATCTCTTGTCAGCTGCAATCAATGAGACAACTCCTACAGAACTAAAGAAAAAGTTTGAGTACTTCCTCTTACTGACTTAACTTACCTGAGATGTAGCAGTTGTTTCCTTCAAAGTACTTATGATTACCTAGGCAAAAAAATATTATCAATTCAAATAGTTTGGTGCCGCCCATAGTCAAAGTTTTTTTCTAGTAAACATGGTTCTCTTTTCTCCTTGGAGCCTGGGTATATTAAGACATTGGTGTAAATTCTTAAGAATGTTTCAGAGAACAATTGCTACTTTTAGGAATTATCCTCAACCAAGAAGTAAAAACCTTAAATATGCTCCTGACAAAACAGGAACACTTCACCTAGGGCCTAGATCTTTGGGGAGGCTTTGATCATTTAGTATTAGAACTGAGAATGGTAGTTCCAAAAAGATTTACATAAGTTTTATTTGAAGAGTACTTGCTCTTCTCATTGTATCAAACAAAATTTTGATGCATCAGACATCAGTGGGAGTTTGGTAGCTTTACCCCACTAATACTTCTCTGCGTTTCTAAAAATCTAGCCCTAAGTCACCAGAAATCCCCATGGTGTGCAGTAGATAGCATCCACTATCAGTGCTAACCGCTCACTTTCAGACAGTCATGTGCTTGTTGTGTCTTCAGATACTGCTTTACCTACCTGATTGGCATATGAGCCTATTATTTATGCTGCCATTACTAATATGCACTTGTGCTTGTTGAGTTTATTCTCACCAAAACCAGCAAATATTGGTTGTAACTCAGTGGCCAACTACTTATTAGTAGGTGTAGAAATATCCAAGAGAACCTAGATAGTTTCAAAGATGATTTATAATTGTGGGGATGGTAACTCCATGGGGATGGTAACTCCATCCACCAGGAAATGCACACTGCCATAGAATACAAGTAGAAGCATCATCCACTGGTGTTAATGATGCATAAGAAACAGAAAGAGAGCAAGCAAGGAAAATGTAAGCACTTGCTGTCGCGTAAAACTATAGGACTAGCTATTCTACTTAAGGTGTCTGTGGGGGTGGAGTGGTTGTTATTCTTTTTTAGAAAAAAAGTTAATGTGGTTCTACAAATACAGCCACAGTACAGTTACTGCTATGGATGATTTGTATAACAGTGAAATTAACAATATCGATGCAAAACTAGTTCTCGTTGAGATAATCATTCTGACTGTGGAGGAAGCCAAGCATTTGATACAATACTTTCTCGAGCCAGTAGTACTTTTGGCTCTGAAGGCAAATTCCTGGGATAACCAGGGGACAGTACCATTACTGTTTCCTATGTGAGTTAGTTCTTGTATTAAAAAGGAGAATTCTCATCTAAACACCAGTATCCACCACCAACATCCTTTGAATGTATTGCAGTAGATTCAGATCCTGTACAGATAGTGTAACAGTGTTTGCTACTCTATTATATCTCCTGCTACCTCTATTATATTGCAGCTTTTTATGAACTTTTGTTATGATGACTCTAAAGGTGCATCTACATACCCACAGTTATTTGAAAATAACTGAAGTTATTTCGCAATAACAATGCGAGCATCTACAAAGCAATTCCGTTATTTCACATTAAATTCAAAATAACGGACAGTTTATTCTGACTTTTGTAAACCTCATTCTGTGAGAAATAATGCCTATGCTGAAATAGCTGTAGTGTGGACATTCCACTGATGCTATTTTGAAATAGCTCCTCCCCAGAGCATTCAAACTAAGATGCTAATCGACTAGTCAACTATCCGATAAGCAAATGCTTTTGTGCATTTCAAAGTGGCAGCTCAGCATGGAGCCCAGGGTCAGCGGGGGACTCAGAGTTATGTGGTTCTGCGCGGCATTTCCCCAGGACCCGGGATAAGCTGTGCAGCGATGCCCCTTTGAAACGTCACTGCGTGAAGCCCTGGATCAGCTGCGGAGCCCCCAGCTTATCCTGGGCTTGGTGCTGCATTGCCCCTTTGAAACGCCGTGTCAAAGGGAAGTTGGATGAAGAATGCTCTATTTCAAAATAGGTGCTGTGTAGACACTCCCAATTTCAATTTCAAAATAAGATACACAATTGACTTAGGTATTTTTTAGGAAATTGCCTATCTCCTAGAGCTGGAAGGGACCTTGAAGGTCATTGAGTCCAGTTCCTGGCTTTCACAGCAGGACCAAGTACTATCCCTGACAATTTTTGCCCCAAATGGCCTCCACAAGGATTGAACTCACAACCCTGGGTTTAGCAGGCCAGTGCGCAAACCACTGAGCTATCCCTCTTCCTGCTGCGTAATGCATCCTAATGTAGCTGTGGAGAATTAGCTAAATGAGCATTAAATCAAAGATGTATTTAGTAATTCAAGTACTCACATTTGACATGAGGAAAACTGAGGAAAAGCTGTTCCCAAACTATCAGCCTTAAACATTCATTACTAGTGAGGAAAGAAAAAAAACACATTTGCAGTATATTAAGCATATACATTTTTCTTGCGGTATTGCATGAAGGTTTTGTTTTTGTTGTTTGTGTGTAGAGTGGAGAGGCTGACCGTCAATATAAAGGAACCATTGACTGCTTTATCAAGATATACAAACAGGAGGGACTTAACGCTTTCTTTCGGGGAGCCTTCTCCAATGTTCTTCGTGGAACTGGAGGTGCATTAGTGCTAGTGCTTTATGACAAAATTAAGGAACTTTTGAATTTTGATGTTTCAACGAGTTCATCATCTGACTAAAATAGTAGATAAGAATTTATCTTGCCTGTATAACATATAATGACACAAGTCTCATTTGGATAACATGTTTGTAGTTTCATTATTGTGTTGTTAATGCTGTAATTAAAAACTTAGGAGAGTTATTAGTTTCCCCCAGCTCATTGTGCATATTTTCTCTTTTGTTTAAAATGCTGAACTTTCAATTTTTATAATGAGAAATAAAGCATGCATGATGCACAAACAAGAAGACTATGAAATATGGATTTTTCAAGATGCCCCTCCGTCATCAAAGAATAATTAATGAGATTATATGCTTTGTTGCATTCTTGGGTTTCATTGGCAGATCTTGGCTTGTAAGCCCCCAAATGAAAGAAAGATTGCCAAGGGACGAGTGGGTTTGCAGCAGTGCAAATAGCTCTACATCTGATACTCTTGTGTCAAAGCTGGCTGACACAGCTAACAAAGTGGGCAGAGCAGTCTGGGATGGATGGTGGAAAGAAATCCTGAAGATGTCTGTTCATTCTCTTAGGCAATCTACAGCACCTTTCTTTTACAACTTCAGCAATAATTTGATTCTGCCCTCCGTTGGTAAAGGGCAGTGTTGCTCTTAAATATGCCCTTTTGTTCTGGGTGAGTTTCTCTAGTGGCACAGGGGAAAGCAAATTTTATCTGTGAGATGTGAAAAACAACAAGAAAAGTTAGATCTCTTTTACTGTTTTTGTTTTAAACAATCTCTATTTTTAAACATGATCATGACAACAGAATAATTAGGAAAAAAATGAATAAATTATCGGAGTATAAATATGCTAACCATACTAGTCAGCAAACTTGGCAAGTTAGGCAAACTTTCCTTGTCCTCATCTCCATGTTTCCATTACAAATCCTTTTCTCCTCTGAGCCAGGAAAAGTCCTGCAGGAATGGCTGCTGTTCTGTTCCGTCCTTCCTCCAACAGGAGCCACGCTGTCATTGCCTAGATCTCTAGTTTATCTAGATCCAATTGCTGTTCAATAGAAGCAGCATGTAGGACTAATGAGAAGAGGGTTTATCACATAGGTAATCTGTGACTGCCACCTAGAAATCTGAGCGTACAGCAGAGAGCAGGCTACTATGAAGAGCACCGCCTCCCTTGCTCCACTCCCTTGCATCCAGGACATCCTTAAAGCTCCCAAGGAGAAGTGTCTTTGAAGGGTCAGGGATGGAATGAGTAGTCTCTACTTTCATGTGTAAAGGAGGAAGTCCTCACTCAGGCTATGTCTAGACTGCAGGTTTCTTTCGGAAGAAGCTTTTCTGGAAGAGATCTTCAAAAAAAACTTCTTCTGAAAGAGCATCCACACTGCCAACACACATCAAAAAAGCGATCAGCTGAATGGATACTATCTCGCATGTAAGCTGTGATTACTCTGGGTGGAGTGGCCACCAGGGCACCTGTGCTTTTTCCTCTTTCCTCTTCTATCGAAAGAACTCCCTCTTTTCCGTCCACGCATGCCTTTTTCCAAAGTGCTCTTTTGGAAAAGGCATTCTTCCTCGCAGAAAGAGGTTTACCAATGTCGGAAAAGCCCCTCTGTTCTTTCGATTTTTTTTCAAAAGAACATGATTGCAGTGTGGATGTGAGTTTTTTTCAGAAAAATGGCCGTTTTTCCTAAATCACTCTGTAGCGTAGATATACCCTCAGAAGACCTCTCTGCATGTGAATCTTAAGATGATGATTTTGGCCCAAGTGTTTATTTTGCAGCTCATGAAAATAATTCCATCCATGTAGCTGTTAGGCTTTCTTTATCTGCAGGAAACAGCAGCATCAGAATACAACTGAGTCAATGCAAAATATGTTAATGCAACATTCTGATTTACAATTTAAATTCAAAGAGATTTAGAAATTGAAAGTTATGATTATTTCTGCAAGAGTAACTCCCTGTTGCACATGAGTTGATTGTGTATGACTGCATATGACGTTATAATTAATGTCTGACTGTATGGCCTGGGGCCACAAAGCATGTCAGATCATGTCTGACTATAAGCAAATGGATAGTTTCATTCTCTTCAATTCGTCAACTGGAAATACTATAAGTTCTCTACTGTGGGTGAATTGCACCTTTCTGCCTCAATAAGGATGAATATCACCTATCTATTACACTGTATTAACAAGATGAATTTTTGTACTGAATTCTACTTTTTCTTTAAAGGAAAGGAAACATTTGTAGAACTGTATCTCCTCCGGTAACAAGCTTTATGAATTTTTGTGGTTCTGAATACACATGATATATCATGTGACCAAAAGTGATGATGTATGGAAATAACATATGCAGAAAACTCAGGTTTCTTGTAAGTAAACTAGAACTATTTTACTTTATCTGATCACTGCATCATTGTTTTTGGGAAAGCAAGGTTGTCTCCCAGAAGCACATCACTTTTCTTCTGCGCATTATCTCGATCTTTTTAGAGCTGTACACATAGGTGGATCAGAGCAAGTTGATTTGGTTTTGATGCAATATAGTTACTTATGACATGTTCCAAATACCACTGGAATTTAAAACAATAAAATACATATAAAATGATGCCACAGCTATGAATTACAATGCTCTTATCAATGGAGATGCAGGCAAAAAAAGGTGATTCAGGGATGGTGAAATAAGAACAGTCATTGTAGTAAGAAGAGAAAACTGCTCATTAGAAATGGCAAAATCAAATAAACCAGACTGTCATAGTGATAATCTCACACAACGCTGAGTGCTGAAATCTTGCTGTTGCAACATATTTCATGCATATGCAAATATAAGAAAGGTGGACCCCTCCTTAGTCTGAAATTGCAAGGAAAAGGACTTAGCCAAAAGTCCTTTCTTAGGGCTTGTGTACACTGGCACATTTGCTCTCCAAAAACTACCTTTTGGTTATAAAACAGTGAGAATATTTACACTGTGTACATCTTTGAGACCAACAATAGATAGATAGATAGTATCATGGGTTTTCGTGGGCAAAGCCCACTTCCTCAAATGAGCAGAGTCATCACAGTGACAGACTAGATTGTATGGTCTGTGCCCCTTTTTTTTGTGGCTGTAAATTTGGTACAATCTGACTCCAACATATAGCGATAGATAGGAACTGCCTGTTTACTTAGATAACCTCTAACATAGTATAAGTAAACACATACAATTAGTATCACCTCTAATTCTCTAACAATATGGTTGTGTCTAGACTGGCAAGTTTTTCCGCAAAATCATCTGCTTTTTCAGAAAAACTTGCCAGCTGTCTACACTGGCCGCTTGAATTTCTGGAAAAGCACTGTCGATCTCATGTAAAATCATCAGTGCTTTTCCGGAAAAACTATGCTGCTCCCGTTCGGGCAAAAGTCTTTTTCCGAAATACTTTTGCACAAAAGGGCCAGTGTAGACAGCATAGTACTGTTTTCCGCAAAAAAGCCCCGATTGTGAAAAAGGCCATCGGGGCTTTTTTGCAGAAAACCGCGTTCAGATCGGCCATGGACGCTTTTCCACAAAAAGTGCTTTTGCGGAAAAGCATCCTGTCAATCTAGACGCGCTTTTCCGAAAATGCTTTTAACGGAAAACTTTTCCGTTAAAAGCATTTTCGGAAAATCATGCCAGTGTAGACATAGCCTATAGGTTTTCATTTCAAAGTTCTAGCCAGTCTAACATGAAATGGCCCTAATTACTATTTGATTACTTTTCTAACATGTCTCTAAGGGCATGTCTACGCTATGGGATAAGGTCGAATTAAGATATGCAACTTCAGCTACGTTAACTGCGTAGCTGAAGTCAAAGTACCATAATTTAGCGAATATATCCTGCATCCAAATATATCCCACACCCGAATATACCCTGCAGTTTTTTCTATTTGAGTAAAAAAAAAAATCTTGTATACCCCGCGTACGAATATAACCCGCGGGGTATACAAGACTTTTCTGTGCCAAGGGTATATTTGCTGGGGGTATATTTACGGTGCGGGATTGCCCCAGGTTCCAGCGCAGCCACCAGCCTCAAGGCAGGGGAGAGCTCACGGCCCAGTTCCTGCGCAGCCGCAGGAAGGGGCAGGGGGAGCAGGACCCACCAGCCTCCGGGCAGGGGAGCGCTCACCGCCCGGTTCCTGCGCAGTCGAAACACAAGGGATTAGTGGTATGGAACAGCTTTCATATGAGAAGAGACTAAAAAGAATGGGACTGTTCAATTTAGAAAAGAGACAACTGAGAGGGATATGATAGAGATCTATAAAATAATGAATGGTGTGAAGAAAGTGAGTAAGGAAGTGCTATTCACTCTACCATGTAACACAAGAACTGGGAGTTGCCTAATTAAATTAATAGGCAGCAGGTTTAATACAAACATAAGTATGTACTTCTTCATACAATGCATAGTCAATCTGTGTGACTCATTGCCATGGGATGTTGTGAAGGATAAAATGGAGGTGGGCGGACTGGAGCACGCCACCCCTTGCCCTGCACAGGCAGGGGCTGCTCTGGCCAGGCTGGACCAGGATCACTGTGGGATGCAATGTGTTAAAAAAAATCCAAAATGAAGAACCATAAAAACGTCTATGCAGGAAACTTAAAATGATATGGGATTCCTCCCATTAGTTTAAAAATTTATACTATGTCCATTTTTTTTATCTTCATTTCTGATGTAAATAATTTAAACAATTCCAGAGAAGAGACAGCAAATTTGTGTAACATGTTACTTTCAGGACTCACATTAACAATGACCCTCCAAAGAAAGAAATATTTTACAAGTATCCAGTTAAGGTTTTAAATGATGTGGAGGTCTTTTAGCACTGTCCTGTCATTATGGTGAAGATATATAACTCTGGTGCAAATTTCCATTCTTATTTTCTATATACAACACAGATTGTTAATAACAACAACTTTCTCACAACACTTGTACCTGAACAATTTTATGATGTGAGTTTGTGATTCACATTGCCAATACTGGTAATTTATTGTAAGATATTGTAAGATAAGCCTATATTTGCTTTTTGTGAAACGACTGATGATGCATTAGAGGTTTGGTCATGGTATATAGATTCTTTCATGTCACCTATGTCAATGAACTGCAGTATCCAAAAATTGCTATCATCTAATGACTCTTCAGTAGCATATGTGAAGTAAGTTAGAGTTCTTAATTACCACACTGCAGAATAGACAATCTTAAATGGCATTCTTATTAGCTTCCTCAGAATAAAATTGTATAAATTCTCTTTTACAATAATTATTTGGTAGTTCAAAACAACTTTCACTAGATATCCAAACATTCTGGGATAGGCAGACTCCCACTCTCTAATTTAAAAAAGAAAATAACAAAGAAGGAAGTAACAGTTTTGGCATTGAAATGCATCAAGACTACAAATAGCTTTGCATATTTTTCAGGGAAAGTGAACCAAATGTGTTGTTATATGACCAAATGTAATGACCAAGTAAATGTAGTGCTCAAACATGGTATGAATTTAATGGCACAGATCTCAACAAAACAAAACCATCAATACAACTGAATGAATTGTGTGAAGTCTCAACAAAATGGACAACCAAACCAATATTTATGGAAACCCACTCACCATTAGAGAATGAGGATTCCTACAGTATAAGGCAGATTAGTGGACATATCTATCTATATATTTTAGAAACGTGTGTCTGTCTGTGAGTCTGTTTGTTCAAGAATGCCTCTTAAAAGCTGAGACCACTACATTTGGTATGCAGCTTCCTCTTATCCTAACTTAAAGCAAGGTCGGGGTTTGATTGTGTCAGGACAATGGGATGTGTCTGGAATTTGATTGTTTCTCATAAAATGGAAAGGGAGGGCTCTGGTCAGAGGGAGTTACACTGTGGAATGACCAAAGTGAGGCAGAAAACACCCCAGCTAGCAGCATCCAACACCCTGGCATCACTGGGAAATAGCTGTTGGCAGTTGCGTTGATCTACTGCGCCTAGCCCAGGACTGCTGGGAGGGTGGCCTCCGCAGCCCCCCACCCACGTCAGGACTAGAAAACACCAGTGGGAGTCCTGTATGGCCCCCGTTGCCCCAGAACAATCCCAGGGTAAGGCTGGTGGCTGGGGTGCATGATCTCCCTCCCCCTCTCTTCCCCAGATGGCACCTGGAAGAAGCTGACAGACAGGGTGTGTGTCTCCATACTCTGCTCCAGGCCAACCCAGGGAGAAGCCAGCAGCCGGGGTCCCACCCCCACCTTGGGCCAGACCCAGGCAAAGCCCGGTAAGTCTTCTATAATACCTATACAGTGATGATGGTTACACGCATATCCATGATAGGATTTTTTATGATGCAGTCTGAAATGGTGTGTGAACCACTGCTTATGTAATTTAAATTGGTTCCAGCTGCTGAATGCACGGTGCTCAGATTTTTGTTTTATTTTTATACCTATCTCTATAAAAGCTAAATTCTGCTTCCCTGATTTTTTTTTTCACAGACAGATTAACTGAAGTGAATCACTAGTGTGAGTATGGTGAGCAGGAATTAGAGCCTGATTCAGCAAAGCATTTACAGACATGCTTGAGTGCTTTTCTCAGTCAGAACTATAGCCTGAAACACTCTATCCTGAAATGGGCTGCGATTCCTGAAGTCTCATTGTCTTTGGCTGGATATGAGAATGCTCTAAATCTTACAGGAGGGGCTCACTCAGTACTTTACAGGTTTGGGCACATAACCTCTTTGTGTCTCATTGGTAAAGTAGGGACTACTTAACTATTGTACTATCTACTTTGCAAGAATATTGCAAATCTAAACTGACTTGACAATGGATAAACACTTTGAGATCTTGAGATAAAAAGTGGTTATATAGTGTGAACTTATACATTAATCATAATTAATGATGACACAGAAAATCACAATCATATTTTTGATTAACAGTAATTATACTGGATTGTAATAATTATATTAATTATGTTGCAATAAATAATTATTTAATTATATCATTACATTTAATTGTTTTACATTTTCACATATATAAATATTAAGTTCTATACCAGTGGCACATAACACTCCCTGCCCCATTGTTCACACTGTTGGAGGATCATGGCCATAAAGTTAGCCAAAATTACAGAATAGTCTAGATTATCATGTATACACAATTATAATGTTAAACAATTAATACATAGATATTGCCAGTGCCAACTGTTCAAAAATCATGAGTCAACTAAAAAAAAAATCACGAGATTTTAAAAAAGGAATAAATGTTGGATTCTTTACGTTTGCTTCCTGGAGTTTGAGCTTTTGGGATGTCACATTTTCAATCTTTCCTCTGCAATCTTGGGGGCAAAGAGAACTGAGCAACTCCCATAATCACATGACTTCAGGAGCTGGGGCTTTAATACATACACCATATACCATCCCTTCCCAATAAACTGCTAGCAGCTGGCAGCCCCTACTCCAGCGCTTCATGCTTTGACTAAGGCTATGATTTAGTCATGTGTATTTTTAGAAAAACACATGGACAGGTCAGAGGCAATAAAAATTCATGGCCCCTGACCTAACCATGACTTATAACCACCCCTACTAAATCTTGGGAAGGCTACTGCTGAAGGGTGAGCCAGTAGTGCTGTTATTTGGAGGAGTGACTGGGAGGGAGGGGGCTGCTGCTGGGAGTTGGAAGATTTGGGGCCACTGGAGCAGTAGTTTGCTACAGAGATGCTGCACAGGCCTGCTGACGGGAAGGGCTCAAAGGGGGAAGTTGCCCCCATGAGCCAGTTGTTCAAAAGGGCCCATGGCTCTTGGCCACTGCCACTTGGCCCTTTAAATCACTGCCAGAGCCTTAGGTGGCTCTAAGAGCTGTTGAGGTCACGGGGGCCCAGTGCATTCCAGGCGACACTAAGGGCTGGCTGCTCTCAGCCCTACCCCTTCTGACCTGAGGCCTTGCCCTTTTCAGGAACACAGAGATGGTTGCCTCCAGGTGCCCAACAATTCTGTCAGTTCTCCTGCTTCTGCAGCAGTGGCTGATGTGGCTGTCTTTGGGGCTACCTGAACAGCTGCTTGGGCAACCCTGGGACAAGCCACACTGGCTGCTGTACACATAACAGAGGTTGCCATCAGAAATGAAAGTAAGTGGGTATGCCCTGATGCACCACTCTAGCAAGAGCTGGCTGATCTCCTGGAAGGGACCCGGCTGGCAACAGGACAGTACTTGTAAGAAATGTTAAGTTACTTTTGTTGATGGTTGTCATGGAATTGTAACTTTCGCAAGGGAGCCCTAGCTATGACTCAAAAATACACAAGCCAAAGATTAAAGTAAGCTATGACTCACGGGTACCAGTCTCCCCAACCACTGTGTGGCACCATTGGTAAGAGACTGGCTGGGGGTGGGGCTTTGGTCCAGTCAGCTCAGTTATCAAATGGCCAGGTAGTGCAATCCCTGCTATCCCTAGCCTTGGGGAATCTAGCAGCTGAACAGCACAATTCCAGCTGTCCTGGCCATCCCTGGGCATCTCGTGTCCCAGCACAGTGGCTGCACTCTCAGCCCTAGCCTCACACCTCTCCCAAACCTCTGCTCTGACTGCTGCACCCCATGCCCTCCATACCCTTGTACTGAGACCCCCGCACCATGCCTTGAATAGGGATGTTAAATATTGGTCAATTGAATAGTCGATTAACCTTATGAATTCTTATCGGTTAGTCGGCTATTTTATATTCCCCAGGATGCCCCTGTCTGGAGGGATGGGGCTGAGCTCCTGGCCCTGGAACAAGCCAGAACTGTGCTGGGCTGCCTGCCCACCTGGCTCCTAATACACTTTAAATGCAGAGCCGCAGTGGAGGTAAATCCAGGACCCAGTGCAAGCTGGGATTTAGCTGGGCTCCTGGCCAGCCTGCTAAAAAATTTAATGGAAATGCATGTAGTCTATAGCATTAACCTATAAACTTTTGCTTATCAGTTAATGGACTATACTATTACATCCCTAGCCTTGACTCCTGCATCCCGTAGCCTCTGCCCTAAGCCCCCATACCTCCCAATCCACTGCCTTAATTCCTGCATCCTAACCCCCACCCCTTGGTCCTTGAGTGACCCCCACATGCCCCAGCCTCCTGCCATGAGACCCCTGTACTCCACCCCACACTTTAATTTATGACAAGCACTGTCCTATCAACTTCCCCCCCCTTCTTCTTATCTTGGGGATGCAACAGGACAATACCTGTAAGACATTTAAGTTAACTTCACCCCCTAACAGCAGGAGATTTTATAGAGGACCTCCCTGCCCTGTACAGAATTGCAAAATCACTGGCAGAACAGCCCCTTTATTTTGGGTGCTGTCCCTTTAAGCAGGCGCGCGGGGCGGGCGAGCAGCAGCAGCATTTATGAGCGGCCACGAGGTGGCGCGCGTAGACAAACGCTCCCTTTCCAGATCTTTCTCGAACTCAGCCCTAACAGCAGGAGATTTTATAGAGGACCTCCCTGCCCTGTACAGAATTGCAAAATCACTGGCAGAACAGCCCCTTTATTTTGGGTGCTGTCCCTTTAAGCAGGCGCGCGGGGCGGGCGAGCAGCAGCAGCATTTATGAGCGGCCACGAGGTGGCGCGCGTAGACAAACGCTCCCTTTCCAGATCTTTCTCGAACTCAGCCCGAGTCTTTCCGGAAACTGCCGAAGGGCCGCCGGGTCTCGCGCAGTCCTCGCTGGAAGGAGCAGCGCGCTTGCGCGGCGGAGAGTAACTGCCGGTTGGTGGCTGGTGCTCTGCAGTGGGGAGCGTGACGGGTAGGAACCGGGAGCC